AGAAGGCTCCTTGAAAGTCCTCTGGTTGTAGGTTTCTCAGCTGCCCCGTCGTAGCTTTTTTTATCTCATTTATGTCCCCCAAATGCCGCCCCCGAAGTACCAATTTGGTTTTTGGGAACAAGAAGAAGTCACACGGGGCCAAATCCGGCGAATTGTTCGGTCACCGTAATGGAATTTTTACTCAAAAACTCACGGACAACAAGAGAGGTGTGGGCAGGGGCATTGTCGTGGTGAAGAATCCAACGCCCCTCTCGCGCCAATTCTGGACGAACTCGTGCCACACGAGCTTTGAGGCGTCTGAGCACATCGACGTAGAATTTTCCATCAACTGTCTGGCCTGTGTTCGTCGGAATGTGAAGTGGAAGGACGTCCTGAACGTGGGTCATCTTGAACGCTTTCTCGGCCCTCTCTGAATCTTTTTAGCCACTTGTGGACGGTTGGTTCCTTCACAGCATCATCCCCATAAACTGTTCTGAGATCGGCAAAAATTTCACGGCCATTCTTGCCGAGTTTCGAGAGAAACTTGATTACGACGCGCTGCTCTTCAACGGAAGCGGGCTCCATGCCGACGGGGTTTCGTTAAGAGGTAACTTCACAGATGGCGTGACAAGCCATGTCAGACCAGAACTGAAGCATTGTTAGGGACATAAGGAAGGGGTCCTGCGCTTACCTGGCCTCCCCACTCCTCTTTCTCGCATTCCAGAACACTTTTATACGAACTTTCCGGACAGACCTCGTACCTACTCTACTTATTAAATATACTAAAAGTGACTACCCTATATAAGATTTTCGTTGTGATCGTGATCATATTTACACATTTTTTTAAACAAAATACGGAAATAAAACTACTTTTAAAGAAAACGAGTATAATGTGATTTTCGTTATAAGCGAACAAATAAAATGGACGCACATAATTATGTACATTGGTTGGAGATATCTCTTTAGGGCTATTTATTTATTTATTTATTTATGCTTTATTGACCACATTACAAAAAAAAATGTCTGGTACAAAAGGCGGACTTAATACTATATAGCATAATATATCACATAAGTTAGAACGATTAATAGGTTGAAGGGGAAAGGTGTACCGATTAGTAACCCAGCGATAGTACTCATTTAGGAAATTGAACATCCTAAAATATTGGCTAAAATACGAAAATATTTTTTAATAACTAATTTTGCATGGAAAGTTCAAAAATTACTTTCCTGTTACCATCGCGAATAATTGTTTAGTTTTATTGATACTGTCGTTGGATTTCGAATAGATATACCTTACATACTTATTCATATCACTGTAAATATCCTTACACAAAGTAAAAAAGAAGAAAAATATGTTAAGAACATTAAAGAAGCCAAAACAGTATTCATAGTTTTTATTGGTACACGTTTAAATAATTAAGTAAAACATGCGAAAATTGTCCGATAAAATTGTATTACTTTTATGATGCAAAAAGAATGTTTTGACTTCTTTTTTGCCACACTTAGAGACATCAATTGCAAAAATCAAATCGATAATATATATCATCGCTATAACCCCCCAAAATGTCGCCATGACTTTTCTTTCCTATCAGATTACATAAAACATACACAATGTATTTTGTATACAATTTACATTTAAATAATTTAACCTATACACATTATTTACAAATGTCTGTATAAGCTTATCACTAATGCTGAACTGGGTGCAAAAAGGACAAACTAAATATGTCTTAGATAAGTATTCAGTTTCTATGAAAATTGTTATATATATATATATATATATATATATATATATATATATATATATATATATATATATATATATATATATATATATATATATATATATATATATATGTTTCAAAGGACAATGGTTTAAAAACAAATGCAGTAATGGATATTTGCAAACAGTATTTTATTAGTACCTTCCAAATGCCTACCTCCTATTTATATTCTATTTCTCTCTTAAATTATCATCTATTCAAAAAATATTTAAAGGTACTAATAAATAGCCTTAGAAAATAAAGTTTGGATACAAACTATAAGTAAATTTTAATCATTCATTTTGTTTGGATTCAGAGATTTTTAAAATTATATTATTTTAAAATTTTTGATGATTTATAATAAAAATAATAATTTTCTTGATATTTCCATAGTGTAGGTGGTGAATACCACCAACAAATGCATTCCTAAAGAGAGTTGACATCAGACAGGCGGCCAGTCATGTAACTAAAAGCTAAAACCTGGATAATAAACGACTCTAAAGTGTGTTGTAAAATTAATATATTTTCGGAACGGTTTTAAATACAATCTAATACAATAGTCAATGTATATGTAATATGGTGCCTACGGGGGGGGGGGGGGGAGAGGTTTTAGTAATGAGGTCTAACAGTCCTATTGCTAGCAATATACCCTGTCAGATTGACCTTCACGTGATCCCCCTCTGTAACCATCGTGCTGAATTCCAGGTGTATTCATCACGATGGGCTAAGGACCTGCCTTTACATTCTCACCTGTCATCCCTCACAGCTGCCGCGCTAGCGTACACCATTAGCGCAGGCTTACCATTCTATTATCATCCATTACAAAAAAAAAAAATATGATACCTACGCTGCAATTTTTTTTTTGTGTATTTATTTGTCATAATACTATTTTGCACCCGATAACACTTTGGCAGTTTGTTACATAAGAATCATTTGTATTGTTCACATCGGCAACCTTTGTCTCATGATTTTCTAAAATTTTTAAATAATGTTTTTATGAACAAAAAATGTTAAAATAATTTATTCATCGTTCTTGCGATTAGCAATAAAATACAAGTTAATTAAAGTTTTAATTTCTAATTTTTAAAGTGGAGCATCTTTTGATTGTATATAATTTTTATATTTGTTTGAAATAAAATGTATACTTTCTCAAAGAATTGGACGGATCAGAATGGCCGGCTATATGACCGTGCGCTTTATGCTTACTCGTCGGTAATGCGAAATTTTACGATCCACACGACGCGTGATACCAACAACTCACGCCCAATAGCACTTCTTCGTAAGTAGTTTTCGTACGCTAGGGGCTTTAACCTTACACAGCTGATTTCGCGCGTCGCGGTAGGATTTTAATGCGTGTATTACATTGCTGTTTTTTGGTATTATTATTACTTTATATTGTGACTTAATATCATAAATAGCATGATTTTAAATGAAGAAGAAAAAAAAACAGGAAATAAATTTGTAATTTTCCAGAAATAATTTTCACTGGTTTTCAGTTTAGAATAATGGTCTGAATTAACTGTTTCAGTTTTTGATAACCTGCCCTCTACACCCTCTATAAATCAGTATCAAAAGTTACCGATGTTAAAAATATTTTCGGTGTACAACTAAATTTGGCATTATAATTGGCACTTGCCACAATTAAATTTAAAAATTCGTATAATCCTTTTAATCTTATATTTAGAATATTTAATAAATAAACTCAGCATATTTTTTTAGATCAAATCGTTTGATTTGTTTTATTATTATACAGAGGATTTATTTTTAATAAATGTCTAATTATGAAACAAAGTTATGTCAAGACTGTTTCCTTAATATAAAAAAAAAAAAATAATAGCTTCTGAGGCTCATACATCTAGTTTTAGAGCTGTCATAGCAACATCATAAAATATTACATAATAAATTCGTTTGTATTGTATACTCCTATTATTTTTATTTGCCATTGTATTAGTAATACAAAAAAATATTACAGATTAATCAATTTCCAACTACCACACCACTTTTTTTTAACTATTCAATACAATATCTAAATACATGTAATACGCTAGATCAATATGGCTAAAATATATATAAATTTAGAACGACTTAAACATGGGAAAATAACATTAAGTACTGGTATATTATACCTTTCTAGTGTTAGTTAGCGTCTTTATAGGTTATTCTCTGATCGAATTTGTCGAATCGGATATTAAATGTTAGGCTTAGATATTTTTTTTATAAAATTATATAAAATAAATGCAACAAAAATATTTAAGCTTCATTTGTCCGACTTTTCAAATTTCAAAATGATAACCTTATCTTAGTATGACTCCGTTGAGTTTTATTGTAAAGCTGTAAAAAAAGAAATTTAATTCAATTCACCATATGATATGGTTACATGTCCAATTTCAACTGGTAATGTAGCACGACGTTTAGTTTTGTCTTATAAAGTATAATAATCAACTATTCCTGGAATCGAGTGTGAAGCCTGTTTCTTAATAATTCAATATATTTTTTTAATATTTAATTTCAGTTATTCAACATGTTAATTTCAGTCAACCAATTTTTCCTTAGCTAATAATTTGTACCAATTTTAAATGAGCATTTTCATTTAGAGATCCTATAAATAAATAAATTGATTACAGATGACTCGATAACATTATTTAACACAATTTACATATAATTAAATACTTACCTACCTACAATTACACATAATATATAATTATAACATACTTTTGCGACACCCAATTTTTTTTCACACCACTAATTCTGATATATAATTTATACTATAAGACATCCAAATATGGTGTTCAAAGTTTATAATTTATTTGTCATTTGCCTAAATCACCTAATATGTATAATGTATATTGCTTTTCAATACGGTTATTATTTTATTTTTATTATAGTTTTTGAGATCAAAGTTAGTGCACAGTAAGTTGAGATATTAGACCCAACTTACCGTTAGTTCCTTTAAAATATAATAATTATAATCCATTTATTACAAATTCATATATCATAACTAAATAATGTATAAAATTGATATATGGTGTCTATTAATATCATTTTAATATATTTATTGTCTTTTTCTGTAGCATAAAATTAAATGTAATATTCTCTATTGCAAGTTTAATAACTAAATACAGAAAAAACTAACGAACATTATGTTCAAAATTAACCTTTTTACATACAATGACAATTGTGGTTTTTTATAAAAAAAAAAAGAAAATTGATAAACAATTGAAATAGAACAAAATATATATATATATATAAATATCAACAGACGGCAATTTTATTTACAATTAATATAAATAATAAATAATAATATATAATAACAAGAACCAGCACACATTTTATAAACACATTATGATTTATGAAGTTGTGATAAATTTTGAATTATCTCTATTAAATATCTCTAATTTTGAAATATTATTAACCGACATATATTTTCTTTAATAGTCGCAATAAAAAATAATTTATAATGACAAAACATATATTTTATAGGTAGGTATAACAATTAGGAATTGAAATAAATATCACATGAAAATCTGTGCTAACCTGAGTCTGTTATGATACACAGACAAATGTTGTTTTATATTATAGTTCATCATCATCATCATCATCATCATCATCATATGTCCACTGCTGAACACAGGTCTCCCCCATAGACTGCCAAAGGAGCAGTCCTGACTGACTTCCTGCAATGCATTTAAGGTCGTCACTTAAGAATCTTTTTTCCTCATCGGTTGTCGGTTCTTCGAGTTATACGACCAGCCCATTGCCACTTCAGCTTGCGTATCCTTCAGACTATGTCGGTTACTTTGATTCTTTTGCAGTTTTTTAATGTAACTTAGAATGGCAAACAAACTGATGGCCCACCTGATGGAAAGCGATAACCGTCGCCTATACATAAGCAATACCATGGACATAACAATTCGCCAATGATACCTCCCACGGTGTTGCCATTCCCGAGGACTTACTGTAATTTTACAGCTATATCCCACCCTTCAAACCGAAACACAGCCATGCAAACACAACTGCTTCACGGTAGAAACACAAAATATCCTCATTTCGGATTCTGTCGCAAAGATACTCCGAGCATAGCCTTCTCCATAGCTCGTTGAGTAATTTAAATCTTTTGAATACGGTACACTGTGTAGAACTATGTTTAGATGCTATAGAGCATCACTAGCAACACGCACTGATTAAAGGCTTTCCTCTTCAAACTTTGAGGTATATTAAAAACTTCCAGATAACTCGAACAAGGAAGCGGTAATTATTACGCGGGAAAAGTTGCAGTTATTTTCATATTTCGACTCACTCATACATATATTTTTAATAAAAATAAAACTTAATTATTTAATAATTAATTAAGTTTTATTTATTCCCAAATATATAATTAATTTAATTATATAGATTTCCACATACATACGTACGTCATTTAGTTAGATAATTAAACTAAATTTTATCTGACATTCAAAGCTAATATTTATATTTAGTCAACTACTATCAAATTTTATTAACCAGACTAGTTTATGAAAATCTGTAAAGAAATTCACAAACAAAAATTAAAAAAAAATTACTCTTGCCTATGATTAGAAATAATATAAACATTTTATTATGTCAAGCTTACTACGTGAAGTTTAGGTAAATATAATTAAAATTCGATTCGAAAAAGTATAGGATAATCGTTTAATTTATTTTAAAAGTTTTGTAAATTGCAAATATAAGGCAGCAACAATATTGTATATATAATAAATACAAACGATCATAAGAAGCTTACACTTATACCCACAAATAAAATCAGTGTGGTAAGGCCTAAATGTTACTCAAAATAAATCTCACTGGATCATTTAATGTTACCGTTTTAAAAAACTAACGGTTTAGTTGGCCAATTGTTAAGATACTGGCCGGTATATAAACTGTTATTAAGTAATCAATAAATTCAGTAGTCTCATATAATTAGGTGTGAAGCTTGAGTTTGATATAAATAATTACATTTGACGAGGTCGCATGTTACGGGTAACAATTGATAAGTTAGCAGTTATACTAAAAAAATGTCTTGACATTTTTTGTCAAGACAATATTTTTTTGTCTTAGACAATTGTCTTTTAGAGCTAAGTAATCAAAAATGATACTCCCTCACGTTCAAATGTTACATATCGTCATAGTTGTAGGATAATGACGGATCTGACAAATATTACATAAAAAGATCCGTCAGTATTCTACGACTATGACGATATGTTTTAGTAGCAACTCTTACACCTAAGCAATGAAAATTATTTTGGCCCGTCCGCTTTGACATTTTTAATACGCACGTACAAACATGTGCAATATATTAGAATAGAATTTTCATAATTCGAAAAATATTTATACAATAAATGTGGACATGTACTTGACATTTTACATTCACCACAATGATAATAGTTCACAAGTGTACCCGACTATCTCATCACGACCATTCGTGAAAATATTTATGGTACTTTTTATACCTTTTTTGTTGACTGGATTTTAAACAATCTAGTCTAGTTTTTCGTTACTACTATTATTGTGTTATTTCTGTGTCCATTCTTTCTGCCTGCTCCACCAGGGACCGGCGTGAAGATTGTACAACATACAATTTTCGAGTACACCTTTAACGAGTACCAATGACGTCCTCCACTGTAAATTAACTAAAGCTTCTACGTCGTGTTCGGGAAGCTTTCGTGAGAGCGAATGTAAGTTTATTATAAAGGAACAGCCTACTATTCCATGGTTAGCTGTAGATAGGAACCAATATTTCCTTACTCCATCGGCTCATACTCCATGTCACCGCAGTATTCGGCTAAGAAGTCAAGAAACAAATTGAATTTCCCTGTAGATGATCGGGACCATTGTGATGATACCGACTTCATGCACGTGGACAAGCTCTCCAGAATACTCTGTGAAAAAAAAAAAGAAATTTTATTACCAATAAATTAATGAAAAACTTTTTTATTGTTCCCCTCAAAGAATGATAGAATACTGCTAATATTTAAAGATTTCTTAATAGTCACACAACAATATTTTTGTTTTATATCAATAACCTTAGAAAGACCGTTGTAATGTAATGTAATGTAAATTGAACTCTATTTTCCGCGCCAAACCACTCATTTGAGCCTTTGTGCGTCATGTCTAGTACAGCCAGCCCAGTTCCACCCAGAAGCTCGGAAATTTCTTGGTACCTTCACAGGCCTCACGGAGCGATCTCACTGTGTCGAGTATTTCTAAACGCTGAGGGCCACAACTTCACTATCCAGGATTACGTGAACAATCGTTTCTTCTGTGTCAAAACAGCCTCGACATAAAGGACCGTCTGTGGCTTAGAAAGACCGTTTTTAGTTACACCCATTTTGGTATGTTATGGTATCCACACGTAGCCATAACGAATTAAGTATCCCAAAGCTAAATTGAACTCTTTTTTACTGGTCTTTATTATATCATAGGTATGTCTGAAGGGATTTCAACGAAATTTTGTAATTAAGAAAGGTGTAACCTATATAATGAAAGAAAACTACAAAGATATAACTTGAACATAATTGTATATGAAACTAGGTACACTTGCGCAGTACAGATACGTATTATACTGAAAATGGTCTACCACAGTGGCAAGCATGTGTATTTAATTAATAGATTCTCTGATTCAAATACTGATGTGAATAGATTTGCAAATTTGAAAAGACCTTTGTCAACCAAATTACTTACCTGTGGCCAATCCTGCCTGTACACCGCCAGGCACTGTTCTGTGAGGGAGTCTTCGCTAAGGTAATGATGATGCAGTAGAAACACCAGGAGCCTCGCCATCGAGGCCCAGGCCGGTCCTGGACTTCGAGAATGACTCAGCAACACTATATTCCGGGGACACAACACACGTTCGAATATTCCTAAAAACTCTTCTTTATTATCTTCTACATAAGTTACTTCTTCTTTCTGATTGCTTGCTACCTCTACTACACCTGGACTGATAATGATGGGAGTTGTAACTTTTACGTCATCATCTGATACTGGTGTTGGTGCTCGGTCATCTTCAAAGTTCCTGAAGTCAGGAGAGAGGTCTGGTCGTCGGTCAGATATTGAACTCTCTTCTGTTTGATTCTTCTTCCTATCTGGACAACATGTGTTCCAGACAGCGTGGAGATTGTTAAGGAACATGTCAGTTACTTCATCTGGTTTTTTGCTAACTGAAAAATAAATTGTATTAAAATAAAATAATTTTGAATGTTTTATACATATCATGTATTCATATAATTGATAATTATTATGAAACGTTCATAAATGTTTTATTTATTTATTTATAAATAGCTCACCAAGCACGATGCACAGATCGACGCTGAGGTGTAGGATAGCACGTTGTGTGTGCAGTCGGCCGAACAAGTTGCTCGGCGAACAGCACACCGCGCAGTTCGCAAGCAATGGTTCCAAATCACCAACCTCCTCATCCTCTAGCAGCAGACTGATTTGTTCCTGCAGAAGGCAAACAATAATTATCTTTTTACACATGCAAAAATTACATTGTACTAAAAAATAATTACACTTTATAAACACATAAATAATATTTTGTTAATAGTATTTAAAAAGAAGTTACCATAAATATTAAAATTTTGCATGCCATTGTTTTGGCAAAACACGTCTGTTCCTAATATATTATTACTACCATCTGTATACTGTGTTTTTCAGCAAATAAATTTTATTATTATTATTAAAACAAAATAAATATAGAAGTTATAAAGGTATCATTCATAATTATTTATCAGGCAAAATTGTATGAACAAGTTGACCCACTTTTTTCCATTCCGTGTATGGAATCACTCTATCTATATAATTTAAGGGTGTCAAGCATGAATACCTTGATTTGTATGATGATCGCGGCGGGGCTGACGTTGACGGCGTGGAAATGCGGCGCGGGAGCGGTAAGTGCCCGCAAGTCGGGCGGCGCGGGCCCGGCGGTAGGGGACGGCGGTACCCGCCCGCCGCTCGCCGCGCACTCGCCCAGCGACACCAGCGCCTTCATCTCCGCCTCGATATCCTTACACAGGATCGCTGTCATCAAGATAAGATCGTGAGTGAAATAACATCTTTTGGAGGGGCAAGGAACTGTTAGTAATAGGGTCTAGTGAGCCCCATATAATAGCAATATAACCTGTCAGGTGGACCACCACGCGGTCTTCCATGGAAACCGTCTTGATTCCTGGCAGGTTTATTATGATGAACCAACTGCTGCCTTACCTATCATTCCTCATTGAAACCCCGTCAGCAAAAATCAATAGTGATAATATTACCATTCGATTTTTATTAATTAAAAAATATCTATGAGAATGAAATGGATATTTAAATTAAACATGCAGAAAGTACATTTGTGAGTGACTATAATTCGTCATTTCTCATCAGTTTTTGAGTAGACATTACATTTTTACTCTATCACTGTAGCTGTGTGCGAGTGAGTGTGTAAGTAAGTGCGTGTCATTTACATCAGTATAAAAAAATACCAGTAGTGGTCCAATTGTCGTCGATCCACTTGCGTAACCTCCCGAGGCAGCCCTTGACGGCGAGAGCGTGCAGGGCGGGAGGCGCGGCCGGCAGCAACGCGGTTAGCGCGTGGGCACTCCGGGTCCGAATCCAGGCGGCGGCAGTCTCCAGCGCGGAAGTTCGTACTTGCTGTAGTTGCTCCAAGTAGAGAGCTTGTAGGGACTCTAGGAGATTAGTCTGTTGATATTGATAACAGAGTTAATACCTTTCCTGGGAACACCGTAGTCCTCATGAAAGGTACTAGATAGATAGAAGATATACCTGGATATTTGAGATACTGGGTAAGTGGAATACCTCTATAAATATGACAAATTTACGGGTCCCTTAAAGTCTCACTTAACCAAGTTTCATTGTTCTAACAATCGCCCCAAGTCCTTTTATAAATTGGATTAGTAGAAGATCGGCAATTGGATACTTTCTTATGAGTGTATGTGTAACAATTTTGTATCGCCTTCCTCTACTTACATAAACGTTACGTTAACACCTAAGCGACCATTTTTACCTAAAAGTCACAACACTAACGAATATTGGCAACGAAAACAAAATAAATACTATATACAATACAGTCGAGGGATTTCCTGTAAAACATAAACGAAAATTTTTTAGTTCCTTATTTTAATAAATAAAACATTGTTACGTAACGCATTGTTCGTACTCCCGTCCCGCCTCTTTACAAATCGTAACATTTTTCAAGACTCTCCCCTCCTCCCCTAAAATTTTGTTACGTGATACTTGAACGCCACGCGTACGCGACGGATAAGCTGAATGTCTTGCTAGCCTTAGACCCTTTCATCGGAGCCTTGGCCACCAGGCTATTCCAACGCGTCAACCTGGGGGCCTGGGGCTGACAAGACCTGGCGCCGCTCCACGCGCATCCCCCAGACAGCCTTATGCGCGCGAATTAGTTCGCGCGCAACAAACCCACAACTAGATGCAAGACAAAATTGAATACCACAGAACCGTCGACCGCTCATATATCCGCTGGCAGTTTGTCGGGCCTCCCCCCATGGGGTCTCACTCGGCAGGCGAAGACCGCGTTGAGCGAGCCGGTCAGCACAAACACATGCGTAGTTACGCATAGCGTAAACAAACCACCAGAGAGGGGCCAATCAGCCCCGGTTTCCCCATTCCCCCGCCAGGGAATGTGCAAAGACCCGAGATCCTAAGACGTAGTATGAGTGATTGACTGACCGTGTCGGGCGGTGCAGGAGCGGGGCCGGGCCGCACGACGAGTGCGTGGGCCCGAGCGCGTGCCCGCGCGCGCGCGGCCGCCAGGGGGCGCGCGGTGAGCTCGCGCACGCAGCCCGCCGTCACGCGCTCCACCACCAGCTCCAGCACGCGCCGCCACGACGACGGCTGGCTCTTCAGGAACTCCTCCTCGAGCCGGCTCTGCAATGTACGGTACGTTCAGGTGACGTCCGTCACTCACGCTTTATGGTAGACGCGAAAAAAAGCCGGCCTCAAAGTAAAAGCGGGCTTTCGACAGCAATCTCAGAGGACGTATCAGTGTCAGATGCCAAGACTTGTGCTTATGCTTGCACGACTGATTTGAAGGGTCGAATTTGGCAGTACAATTACAGGCCATAAAAACATATCATGGTCACTGTTATTATTATTTATAGGCCGGAAGTTTCACTTTACGTTTAATAGTTTTCCATCCTAAATTGCAAAAATAAATCATTAAAATTTAAATCTTCAAATATTACCTGTAATTCCTTTTCTTTATTCCTTATTCGATCTTCAGTATTAAAGCTGAGACTGACTGGCGTTATATGACGGAAACTACCAACTTCTTTTTGATGATGTGACACCCTACATGTAGACAGCAATACATTCACATCCTTTAAAAATGGACACAACTCAAATAGCATTGATTCATCGATTATATCATAACAATCAACATTCACTTCGCACACAAGACTAATTACAATATTTTTCTCATAAAACAACTCGATTGGAAAATGCGGCAAATCGAATAGCCAGCCGAGAATCGATTTCAAGTATATAGCCATGTTTTTCTTCATCGAATTCTCTGTGGTGAGCTTTAGTTTGTCTGTGTATATATTGAAGATGATTTTTAGTAATTCTTGGTAATATTTTATTCGAATTGTGGTGTAGTCTAGTTGCGATAGATAATGAACCATCCAGGGAAGAGTTATGGAGATCCGGGAGTTTTTGTACGCATTGATCAAGAGACCCTTCAGGTCTATGCTGGGTTGGCTCTGAAACAAACACAAAAATATCAATTGTCTATTCCAAGCTATTGCAGTGCCAGCAGCATTGCCATAGTTATCAAAGTATTATACTCAGTGTCAGCATGAATCTTAATGAACACAATTTACAAGCAAAATATTAAGTTAAGGGCAAACAATATTAAACATCGAAAATGAATGTTAAAACATGGATGAAAGGCAAAATTAAAATGATTAAATAAAAATAATTATGGATTACAGTTCAACCCTCTAGACAAATATAAAAAGAATCTAACGATGGATACGCTTTCGCATCCATATGCGCGAGATGGAACGAGATAACAATGTCCAGCGTCTTTCTTATATATATCTACCGATAGCTTCATTTGTGGTTTATCTAGAGACGCAGAACAAAAATTAAATTAATAATGTGTATAAACTCACATAATTTCTAAGAGCCAAGTTGTTCTCGAGTACTCTCTCCTTGGGTGGAGCTGACAGGGGATTGTGTGGCGGGCGCACGCCCACAGACTTGGAACTGTCCAGAGGTACCTGTGTATATGGCAGTGACCACACGAACCCAAGGAACTTAGCCAAAAGACCCAGTTTCTTCGACAACTGGAGGTACTCATGGGATATATCAGAGCCACTTGCTGCAAAATAAATTAGTTTGATGTAATATACGTGATGATAAACCTATAGATAAATTCAAATGTAACTTGGACAAATATTTAGCACTATGCATTTTTTTATGTGGAAGGGCGACAAACGAGCATGTGGTTCACCCGAAATGCATGGAAATAAATTTGCCCATATAGAAAAATAATTTTTTTGTCTTATATTTTACGATGAACATATTATTAACTGATCGTTACCTCTGTCGTCTGTCGCGATAGGAGTTGAATCCAAGACAATAATCTCGGAAGCAAGCGCATCTCGAAGGTGCACGCGGAATGATTCATTCTCAGTGTACATTATAAACTCCCTATGAACAAAAATAAAGGTGTTTTTTTTAGCAGAAGTAGCCATGTCCTTCTTCATGCCAACTTTACGTGTATGTATTATGTCAACATGATTGATGGAGCCCTTAAAATATCAAGAGATAACAAACATTCGCTTTTATTATAATATCACGCCGTGTGGTTCCAGCATAGAATGGGCCACCCCTTCCTTTTCCGTGGGTGTCGTAAGAGGCGACAAAGGGCGGGCAAGGGATGGGCAGCAGCGTCCCTCTTAAAACATCTCTAAAAGTCTAACTGCCGTTGCCAACCCTTTATGTTATGAATGAAATATATGTGTTTTATTAAAATGAAACAAAAAAAATTAAATAAAAAATGTATGCGTAACTTCAAAACAGTTAATTTCAAATAAATTAAGTTTTATTACATGTTTATTTGCTGTCGGAGTTATCTGAAATGACGTTCCATCGACATCTTTTTTTAATAGAATGTTCAATCTCCGCGTTATATGGGGGAATACCCATGTTATACGAGGGATTGTAATCGCGTAATATGAAACCGTGTTATAGGAGGGATTACTGTATATGGTGTAGGCCATGTTTATTAATTGTAATGTCATTGCCATATCCCACCCAAGGGACAGAGGTATCAAGCAGACGACTTTTGTACAAAGTCTCCCTCTGATTTAATATTAAGATTATATTAAAGTCTATAAATTCATATCACCTATTATTATTTTTTGGAGACATGTAATTAAATCATTAAAATTATAATATGATTACTGTCACTTTAACACGTCTAAGTAGTATCCCTTTGGGGGTGCTAAAAGACATTTCTTAAAGGTTAAAAGTTTCAAAACAAGTTTTTTAACTTAATTACTTACTTATAAAACAATTCTTTAACTGAGAAGTAGGGCAGTCGGTGTGACTCCGGTGCAGTGGGGCAAGTCAGTCGACGTTGCAGTTTGCTCAGCTTCGATTCCTGTCACAATGTATAACGATTTGAGGTAAATACCTCATGTTGGGGGGAAAGGGATTGTTAGTAATGGAGACTGAGAATCCCATTGCTAGCAATATACCTAACCAGGTCGACCTCCTCGCGGTTCTCCCTGGAAACTATCATGGTTAATTCCTATACAATTCATCATAATGGGCTAACTGGCCTGTTTTCATTCTCGTCTATCACCTTTCACTGGTGCTCCGCCAGCGTATCTCGTTAGCGCAGGCGGGGTTACCATACCATTTTCACCCATTAAAAAAAAAAACCTTATGTCAAGTATGTATCCAGATATATGCTAAAATAACAAATATTTTGAAAAAATTCAGTTTATAAAGTATTTATTTTCCTATTCTAATTTTTATATCAACTTAATTATGTATATCTGACTAGCAAGCCCTCCCCTTCCCTGTTTAGTTGTATAGGTGCAAGAATTTTTTAAAACAGTTTTATCTATTACAAACGAAAGAATTTTTCCATTTTATAATATTAGTATAATCATACCTGTGTATTATGTGGTAGACACTCGGAGAGCATATGAGCTGTGAACAGAGCAGCGAGGTGCGCGTAATTCGCCGGTGACTGTCCACAAGTCAGCAAGGTTTTGATCCTCGCGCGGAATGTAGACCTGGATCCACCTGACGTTTGCATCTCTTGGTACCATCTGAATAATACAATGTCAAACAATCCTTAAAATTACCTTTCCTTAGCTTTGCTATTTAATTTTACTAATACAATAAAACTGTAACTAGACCATTTCTATACATGGATGTATAGACATTATTATATAGGATTATATTTAACAAAAATTAATATCACTCAATATTTTTTTCTTAATAAGAGCAGCAGAAGCAAAAACAAATTTTATAAATTTTGTCAGTCTGTCTGTCTTATTTGTATGTTTGTTCCGACATCGCACAGGAACTTACTAGTTATGGTGTAGTCACCATAAAATCTGACGTATGTTTATCTTAAGTATCCAATCTAGAAATGCTCCATTTTATTGGTTTTCCTATTTTTATAAATTCAAACGTACGAAGTAGCTAATAGTAATAGCTAGTCAGTAATATTTAAAATGCATTTTTATTTTTATGGGACAAAATATAGTAAAACAATTGCGATGAAACGAGTAATCTTCCAGCTATTTCGCTACACACACAAGAACATTAAATACTTCACTCCCTTTTTGGGCACAGTTGTGTAAAGCATTACAGTTAATAGTATTTAGATAATATAATTGGCAAGAACTGATTCAACTAAATAATTACGGACACTTAGCGGGTAATTTATATCCATTAGTGTTCCACAGATTAAGTTTAAAACAGATTATAGAATGGTTGGAGTTAGAAAATTATTAATTAATTTTAAAGATAAATTAAATATTGAATACAAGTAATTTGAAAACTATACGCATGCAAATAGCCCTCAGGAACGTGAACGACATGCGTTACCATTTCTGAGGGCTATTTTTTCGTGTTGTCTCCTTTTTTGAGTGACTTTAAAATGAGGTCCTCAACTAGCTGTATTGCTTTTATATTTTTTTAAGTCACGAAATATTTTCGCTGATTCTGTATTAATAATTATTTTTACAATTAATAAGTTTTAAATACTCTCATTGTTTTTATGGATAAAATATAGTCTATCCACCATATGTAACTTAATTATTTAATATGCTAAGCACAGATTTTTACGGTCCTTTAAGAAATAATACATCACCAATTCTCAATATGCAAGTAATATAAATGTACTGTACTGGAGCGCTTCGTCATTCGAGCCAATAATACCGGCGTCGGTAGTAATGTACTTTTAAAGATACTAAAATAACTACATTTCTATAACTTAAAGGCTAGCAATATGCACATACCGCTTTTCATCAGGTAAGCCAATTACTCATTTGCCTCCCTAACAATATTAAAAAAAAAAACTACTAGCTTGCTAACAACAAAGTGCACAAATTATGTGAACTGCATTAGGTAATTAATTGAACATCAAAATGTAAGAACAATCATGGGTGGTGGTGTACTTTTTCGTTAGTTTAGTTTTTAGTTTCGTTAGTTAGAGGCCACCATTAAAAATAATAAGAACATAAAAAAGTAATACATTACTTACCTCAAAATTTGGTAGAACATATCACGTTGCTTTTTAAAGTTTTGGAAGCTCGCAACGGTTGGAAAATTATCTATATTATCCGTTTCAAGATTAAAACAAATGACCCCATTTGACGTTCTACACTCTGGTGTGTTTTTTCTTTCTTGATTATTCTCTGCTTCACACTTCAGCCCATATGAATTCAATAGAAACTTCGCTAAATCCGGATAAAAGGACCTTACTTTTTTATTCTCACCAAGTATTTTCAATGAATTTTTATCTAAAATAACTTCCAATACCACTCTTTGAGCCCACAAAGACTTAACTGCAAAATATGTACAATTGTGTATCGATTTCAATAGAAAATCTAAATTGTTCTTTTTTAAATTAGTTTCAACAATAACATAGTCATCTTCTATTTGTTTAGAAAGTAGAATAGATATTAGAAAATATATTTCCGTTATAATACTAAGTATTAAATTATTTTTCAATAATGCATCATATATTTCTATTAACATGTCTATTTTCTCTTTAAAAATGATCTTGGTGTTATCTGATTTAATATAATTTACGTTTTTCTCAAAAGAATCTTTTTGGGACACCTTAATCTGTGGAGTTACGATAGTAGTACATGAGGTGGAAGTATTTAAAATATTAAATTTCTCCATAAGCTTATGCCTTTCCTGTTTCAACATGTTACGTTCCACTTCAAATGTATTAGCCGATTCTTTTGGCTGCAAATTCTGTGGTTTGAAAGCTAAATTGTCTTCTAGAGCTAATGGTGAAGGCTGTTGGAAACATTCAGATGTGAAACTATTTAATGAATAGCTTTTCTGGGCGACAGTTTTGTCAATATTAGTGGGTTTAATTCTTCGTCTCTCTGAACGTAAGGAACTAGATTTCCTAACCCCTATCTCTGGAAACATGTCTGAGTTGCTCAGGTCTAAGGCCATACTACTGTCTGTGGTGTCATCACTTGATATGTTCTTGTTAACTTTCTTTTTCTTCGTACTTTTTTGTGCTGTAACTAAGTAGTCACCGAGACAACTTTTCTCATGAGATCTGGAATGCCTGTGAGTTAATCTAGGAGTGTCACATCGTTCGTATTCTTTAAAACTTCGCGGAGTAACAGGACTGGCCAATGGCAGATTTGGGTGGTCTTTGACTCCATTTTTCAGCGGTGTACTAGATACAGCTATTCTTTCAATACCGCTGCTCAATCTTGAATCATCAGATGATACTGACTGGTCTTTTTTGTCATCATTAAATAATTTAGTTTTTACCCTTCTTCCAGTACGCTTACGATCTTTACTTGGAGATGATTCGTGGCTTCTCTGACGATCTGTTTTGACTGAAAGACTATCCATTGTTCTATCATCACTGGTTGGATCACTGATAGATCTGCGGTGGTTGCGACGTGAATTTATAATTTTTTCTGGTGTGTTTTGATGTTGTAGAATTTGGTGTGCATTGGTATTGGTTTGTAAAATGCTGAAAGAAATTTTCATTAGTTGATAAAGATATCAATTAAGAAACTTACGAGTCTAGATTCAGCAAATATACACAGTATTGTTTACATCAACAATACAATGGGATCGACTTTGAGACAGACTTTCTCTAAACTTAAAATTAAATTTCTATTTGATATCACAGAGAAATCTTTACTGTACGAACCAATGTGAACAAATTTTCTAATAGATTTATGTTAAAACTATTATAATTTTAGTTCATAATGGTTCATAAAATAGTAATTTCGCGTAATTATCAAATTAGAAAAATTAGGTCAAGAGTGAAGTTTGAGAAATGATATTTACGAATCGGCCCCAGTATCCCATGTCTCAATATCTACAGTACACGAACAGTAGACAGATTTTTACCACTGAACTACAGAATTTGGCATAGACAAATGAAAGATAAATAAGGATGGTTTCTACTGTTGGCATCACCTATTAATAAGAAGTTAAAAATACATATTCCTCATACAGTTTTTTTTTTTAATTTAGATGTCAAGGTAAGTGGCAGTATTTGTATACAAAGTTATTGATGTAAATATATACAGATATGTACAGACATATATATATAATTCAGAGTATTATAAAATATATTCATTCAATGGAATGCGATTTCTTTTTTATCTGAACATTTAATCCATTAAACAAATTGTACAAAATTGTTTCTGAACATTACTGCTACAGATAGATAAGAGTGATCATTACCATTCAATATCAAGGAGATATTAGAGTAAGGTTTCAAAAAAATATAACTTTGTGTAATAAAATGTTTATGCTCACTCTTCTACTTTATCTGAGTAATAAACACTAAATATTATTGTCATCTTTGTGTATTTTACATATCATTTAAGTGTATATTTGTTATTTATATATATTTGTTTATATGTAAATATTAGTATGTATGTATATTAATTATTACTAGTATCCCATTTGGGTATTTTGATACTTCCCTAAGGTTGGCTGGGAGAGAATGCTTTTAACATTAAGTCCACCATGTTATTATTTTATATTATACTTTTTTCACTTATACTGCCAGAGTCAAATGCTAGAAATACATAGACTTAGTATACCATAGTATACTAATAGACTGGCAATGCAATCATAAAAACGTGACAAAAGTGTAATTACACTTGTGTGCATGAAATGTGCATAAATCAGTGCTTGCACTGAACAATTTTTAAAGTTAATAATAATTTATTCATTTATTTTAGTTCAGTACACCTGTAATAAGTTGTATGTAGTATGTACGTATTATGTAATAATTGTGCTGTAAAATTAAAACATTTTTAGAAACTAAATAACTTTGTGGACTTTATACAATACATGTTATAATAGAACTACATTATTTGTAAACCAATTTGAAAATAAAATTTTATACAATCATATCCATAGAAATTTTATTATAATCATTCCAGTAAATTGATTTTTAAATCAAAATAACTGGTTTTGCCACTATTCATGTATACAATACATTGACATTCTTAAAGACTAAGGTGTTTTACTTCCATATTCACTTTTTTTTTCATTTGCTTGGGTACTTATGTGCTATTCTATTTCTGTTGTGAAGTAGTTGTATTTACATGACTATGTTTCAGTTTGAAGGGGAGAATTTGTGAGATATAGCAATGAAATTACAAGATACAGGCATAACAGCTTAGTCTTTAGGAATAGCAACATATGAAGGGTATCATGGGTGACATTGTATATTCTGTTACACCCATGGTATTGTTTATATCTAAAGTTGGTGGTTACCATTTTCAGCTTGTTTAAAAAATATTTCAAGGTTTCAAAAAAATTACCATCCTTAAAACAATCACAAATAATACAACAAATACAGAAATAAAACCCTTTTGATTAATAAAAGACTAATTAAAATTTACTCACAATTAGTAAATTAGTATATAAATTAAATATTATATATTAAAAAAAAATAGTTGAATCGAAAAACATTCATGTCAACAAAAAAAATTTTGTTTTATTCTTTTGAAATCCAAAAATAATTATTCTTAAATAGGTACTAACTTGACATCCTTACCCGGAAATATTTCACCATATTGAGGAAGACAAAAATATATTTTAAATATAAGTATTGATTATATTTATTTATTTATTTATTTATTTACACTTTATTGCACCAAGTAAAAAGAGAAATAACAAAAATATTAATTATTTTTAATAGAGGACATAGAAAAAGACAAAGAGTAGGTGGCGCACTATTATATAAATATTATCATATACAAACATATATAGATACATACATACATACATACATACACATACATATATAATATATACACAATTAAATATATACATACATATATAATATATACACAATTAAATATATACATAAAATACACATACTTAACAGCATACATACAACAGAAAAAAATGATAGTACTAAAGTGAGAGGTAGTAAGATAACAGAGGTTTTGAAGCTAGTAAGAGTTTGAGCACAATAGAGGTAGGTAGTGATTCCAGAACAGTTTTACTTTTTATGTTTGTAATATTAAGAAAACAAGTCTAATTGATTGTGTAAAGAAGAGACAGGATATAATATAAAGCCAATAAGATTAAAATCTATTTGTATTACAAAATTAACTGACTTGTTTAATTGCTCTTCGGTGAGGTCTAAATAACATGAGTCGGCATAATCAAGAATAAGTAAGGTGTGTGCGAGCACAATTTTGGTGTTATTTACGTAGTCTATTTAAGGCAAAAGTTGCAGCAAACATTTTTTTACTGTGTCATTAAAAAATAATGCCAAGATTTATTTTCAATTATGGTCATTAAAAAATTATCAATTTATAACAAGACCATGATTTAAAAAATATATTTCATCATATTATTTATTTTAAATATTTATATAATACATTTATCCATGTAATTTTGGAGATATGTTGAGAGAGGTTAGCAATCCTATATATAAATCCAATATGTTAAGACCGTTAATTGAGAATTCTCCATGCCAAAACGGATATCATCAGTCAATTTGTTGAAACAATACAATTGATTAAAATTATTGACATACACATAAAACATGAAATTGTAAGTGTTTCCTTTATATTTTCTATCATCATTCACTGGTTGGTATACATATTATTAAGACACTCAACATCAAGATTACACAGGATTATCGTTATGACTCTTACCAATGATCACCATTTTCTACAGATTTATGAATGTGGCGTCGTTGAGCCTCCCTACACACCCTGTTGCAGAGATTTCTAGTATTGATGTACTCATTACGATGTCTGTCCGGATCCGACTTATATTTAGTTTTAGCAATATTTTTTTTGTGATTTGGACTTGATCTTGTTTAATGAGATCAAAATAAAATGATAACCCCACCTGTGGTAACAATATATGGAAGTAGGGTACCAATGAGTAAAAATATATGAGAATGAAGTCAATTAGTTGCATTAGTGTATTTAAGATTATTTTCCCCACAAAAAGTTGTATATGCCTCTATGTGTGTATGTATGTATGTATGTATGTATATATATATATATATATATATATATATATATATATATATATATATATATATATATATATATATATATATATATATATATATATATATATATATATATATATATATATATATATATATAATTCAGATATCATCATAGTCGTAGAATACTGACGGATCTATCAAATATTACATATAAAGATCCGTCAGCATTCTACGACTATGACAATATATCTTTACACATAGCATGAAAACTGCACTTGCATACTGGGATGGGCACTAAGCAATTTAGGAGCGGTCATTGCCCACCCCGCCTCATTTAATGATTATGTGCTTATGATTAGTTGGGCCATCATATTTAATTTTATTTAGAAGAATTAACCACAATAATTACATTGCCAACAATGGGACCACTAGATCCAAATTATAACAATACTCTCCCTGACTAATCAATCAGAAACACTGAAAATTGTTTATGATAATTGACAGCAATATCTCCACACTTTGGTAAACTTAAACGTGAATAGTATTAACATTGCCCTAAAAACAGCTTAAAATTTGGTAATAATAAAAATAGGTTCATAATGCATTTATATTATGCATTAATAAAAACAATGTTTCACTATTTGATAATAATACATTATAATAAAATTAAAAAAAAATTATATACATAAATAATTCATATTATTAATTTATATTTTTAATTCAGCCTTTGGACTTTATTATAACACAAACATTTTGTTTGTTGTACAAGTATATAATAACAAATAACAATAATAATAAATAACAACTAAGTAATATTGTCAAAACTTTCATAAATTTGACAACCATTGTTTACTTTCAAACAAACTTACCTATCTGTTTGATTCCTCAAATAAGATAAGAATTGGACAACAAACTCGCTTCTATTGCAACACAGTAACACACAATCTTCGTTGCTATCCTGAAATATAACAAATTCATAATATAAACAATACCACTTAGTTCATGAAATTTCTAGGTTAGTTTTTACCTCTACTGGTTCGTTTCCGAGCCATCTTATCAATAATGCGATGTCAATTTTTCCGTTAAGGACACTTTCAATAATTGTTTCAGGCATTTTGTATAAACTAAAATAGAATTTCCTTAATAATCGATTATATGAAAGAGCTGCGCGGTCAAACGTCACTCAACCGCCATATTTTCAGAATTTCAGAAAGCATTGCCAGATGTGATGTCTAATTACTACTCAAATTTTTTAACCCGAATATTTTTCTCCAAATTGGTACGATTTTTAAAAAATTTATCCGATCACAAAATTTGTGTCGATTTTTACTTCGTTTTAAAATTTAATTACAAGACCTAAAAACGACAAGGTCGTTTTCTAAGATAACAACTTCATCTTTATTACTTTCATTCTTATATTCTATACATCTATATACTGCTAAACTATACAGTAAGTACCAAATCTGTCAAAAAAAGTTACAGAAATTTCCTGAACCCAATTTATTTATCTTCAAAAATTCACCAATATAAACATTTTTACCATAAAAAATGAAAAATATATCTGATCTGGCAATACCTTTTTTTTCAGTTTCTGGTCAAAATACAGAGAAGTTGGTACAAGTTTTTTTAATACGTTTGTTTCGTTGTGGAACAAGCTAAGGTCGGAGACCATGCTGCTTGGTACTTAAGTTGTCAACTGTCACTTCCGTTTTTTTTGACTGGAATTAAATTTGGAAACGAGTTCTTTAGCTTTCATAGCGATGCGCGTATACGAATGATTTTGTAATTCCAATAATTAATAATTACAAATTTTATAATTCGATAAATAAATTAGTAAAATACTAATTTCTGTATTTGAATGATTTTACTAATTAGTAATTAATTACAACAGTCTTATTTACTACTACTAAATCCATTCTAGTCTGCATCCACTACCAATACAATAATACTATGTCAGTGAAACCAATGATGAAAGGAAAACGCAAATTTCATATTTTTATCATTTAATTCCCTAATTATTTACTTCCCTGCTTACTTTTGTAATAATAATCGCAATTTACTATAAATACATTTTTATTAAAACTTTACTGTAATTACTACTATCTAAAATTAATAATTTTTACTACATTGTAATTAGCAACACTCTTGCCCATTCGAAAAAATTCTACGATCGGGTCGAAAGCGCGGGAAATCTCGAAAAAGGCAGTAACGTATTCATTGCTAAATTATTTTAAATTAAATTTAACTTGATCAGCTGAGTATATCTAGCATATTTGTATTTTTTAATAGTTTATTGATAATTATTTTATATATATTGTATATATTCTGTTAAGTTTCTTTTATTAAAGAGTTGCGATGGAAGAACCAGAGGACCCTGGGGGCGGTGTCCTCTAATTATCCCATACTGTTACCATAACAAATGATTCCAGTTTTGACACGAGATCATATCGATAAGACTCATAATTTAAACAGAAAGAGGTCTTGTCCTTGGAAGTTATGCAGACATTACAATAAAAAAAGCACAAAAATCTTACTGCTGGATCTGACCCTAAAAAAGAAACTCGTTGCAATTGTTGTATGAATAAAATAATAAGACTTCTGCAGAACAAATATCTGATTCCATGTATAATGGCTACATGGAAAAGATGTTTTTTTTTTGTAAATGAAGATCAAACTTTCTGAAAATCGTATGTAGAGTTAGACATTGCTTCGTTTGTAGTTCGTGTCCAGAAATTTCATGAACCTTTTAATGAGGGTATTACTCTGCATCCTATAAGCTTTGGTAAATTTTTGAAGAGATACAATTTTAAAGGAATTGTAAACGGGAGCGTTAAATGGGTTAGCTGAAACCAAGTTTCACTAACTTTTGCTACTTATAAAGATGTTAGTACTTTCCTTAATGATAATTCCTTAAATGACAACAGTTTTAAGGCTTTAGACTCTTCATTAAATTTGAATCATATGGGTGTAATTCGGGGCCTCCTTCAGCGTGGCCACTCGATGAAGTAAAAATCAAAATCACTGTATCATTAGGGTGTGGTAATATTATCAATTTACGGCGACTAAATTACAAAATTACAGAGAATGGCTCATCTATATGGAAACCATTGCAAACCATAGTTTTAAATAAATTTTAATAAAAGCCACGCAATATGGCCTTAATTTTATAATACCTTGTGATCTCGAACATGATGTGACTATAAATTAAGTAGTTAACATTAGTACATTGCATTGTTTTACTAAGAAAGATGTCGTAAGGAAAATGTTGACTAAGTGTATAAAATAAGAATTATAAATTTACAAAAGTATTTTACTATATTTTGTTCTTAAATTCACTTTTAAACTATTCCTTTATTAATTGATAATTTTGGTATTATGTAAATAATAAGTATTTATTCGGAAAGTGCTCTCTGTTAAGGGGATAAGGAATCCGGTTCCACTGTAAAAGAGAAATCAAAATAGAATGGTAAGCCTGAGTTATTCAGTACCAGTAAATGATGATAGTTGAGTAGTCAGGCCAGTTATCCCATCGACGTGATTTATTTGGAATTAACGACATGTTTTCAAAGGGTACCGTGTGTAGGTCGACCAGACAAGGTATACTGCTGCAATAAGGACTAATCATTCTCTATTACTAACAATCCGTGGATAATATCCATTTGTAAGATAATAAAAAAAACTATTAGAGAAAGTAGATAAAGTATCTAAAGGGTAAAATTCTTTAAATAAACATGGTCTATTTTATATTGTGAATAATTTATATTTGAAATATCACGATGAGACTAAGACTAAGTGAGCAAATTAAACATCATTTTTATCAATATGATTACATCTATGGCGTTTCAAACCACTACTCTGAGTAAACTGACTGTTGCATATATCACATGCATATGGTTTTTCTCCTGTGTGAATGCGCATATGCAACTTCAAGTTACCATTAACTGAAAAATGCTTATTGCATATCTCACAGTTATAATAAGGCCTCTCAGTGGAGTGTACACGCATATGTTTAGATAAATTGCCAATTTGTTTATTACAGATTTTACATGTGTAAGGTTTAATGCCAGTATGTACTCGCATGTGCCGTTTTAATTGCCCAGTTTCTCTAAAGCACCGTTTACATATTTCACAACTGTATGGTTTCTCACCAGTATGCACTCGCATGTGTATTTTTAAATAACCATTGTCTGAGAATGGCTTTTTACACACTTTACATGAAAACGGTTTTTCGCCAGTATGTGTGCGTTCATGTAGCTTGAAACTAGTCATTTGCGCAAACTGTCTACTGCAAAAGCTGCATGTGTAAGGTTTTAAACCAGTGTGAACCCTCATGTGCACTTTTAATGTTGTGTATGCTGTAAATTTTTTTTTACACACATCACATGAATATGGTTTTTCACCAGTATGCTGCCGCTCATGTATCGCCAAGTAGCTTTTGCTGGAGAATTGTTTGTTGCAAATCTTACAAGAATAAGGCTTGACACCAGTGTGAATAATAAATATATGTCTTTTCAAATGTGTCCGTTGTGGAAACCTTCGCCCGCAAACGTCACAAACGTAAGGCCTTTCGCCAGTGTGTGTCAACAAATGCGATTTTAATGTCTGACTGTGTACAAATGACTTGTTACAAACGTCGCAAACATATTTCTTTTCACCGGTATGTGTTTTTATGTGTTCCTTCAAGCCTTTCTTCCACTGAAATTCCTTATTGCAGTAATTGCATTTGTATTTCTCCTCAAAATGTATTGAAATATGTTTTTTGAAAGTTCTAGTTTTATCAAATATCTCAGTGCACAAAGTGCAAGGGTATTTGTTACCGACGCTATGTGTATCTTCTATATGTCTAGTAAGTGTCTTACTTTGTCTATATTTACTATTGCACAAATAACAGTTGTATGTTTTCTCGCCTGTGTGCACTTTCATATGCACTTCAAGAGAGCCATGGTATGAGAATTTTTTCTCACACACATTGCATGAGAATTTCTTAGTAGTCTTCTGCGTTTTGCGTTCTTGATCTGTAACGAAAATAAATATTTATTATATGAAGCTGCAATTAATAAATAAATAATATATATTATAATTATATATAGTGATGACCATGATTAAAATCAACAGGCTGTAATAAGTTTAGTAAATAAAATCCGTTAGAAAGCAAACTGCCATATACATAGATAATGAGTATGATTACAGTATCTAAAGATGGCCGTGTGGTCTCGGCATAGATTAGACCACTCCTTTCTTTTCCGTAAATGTTGTAAGAGGCGACTAAGAAAGAGCAAAAGATGGGCAGCTGTCCCTCTTATAACATCTTCAAATCTTAATTGCGGTTGTCAATCCGCCTGCCAAGAATGGTAACTGCTGGCAAAACTCCCAAGAGAGAGGCATATGTTCAGCAATGGACAATTAAAGGTTGATATGATGATTTAAAGAAGGCAGTTATTTTTTATATAACTGGGACTGATAAATAAGCTTAGTCATCTGATAGAAAGTTATTACGGTTGCCTTAGTTATGTACATTACACAATATCTATACTGCTAATGACATATTATATAGTCTTTGTTATATGTATAATAAAATATAATTAATATTACTTAATACACTATATCCATGATAACCCTCATACCACTTGTTTTTAACTTACCATGGCCCAATTGTGGCGCTGCTGCCCAATCGGCATCAGGGTCAGACTGTAACGACACCTGACGTCTAGTGCGGAGCTTCGACAGAGGCTCGTCGTCTACATCCTCAGCGTCGACAAACGCATCTATAGACAAATATGTACAACATAGCAAAATTAAAAGATATACGGTTTTGAAAATTAAGGGTCCGCACAATCTATAGGAGTGCTGGTGAACTGTTGTCAATCTAAGCTGATCCTAATGATGTAAGTGTGAATTACCTTACACTAATTTTATTATTATATTTATGTATATATCTATTGTAAGGTGTACATATTGCAGATAATAAAGGGGGTAAAATAACAGAAAATTAATATACATGTATTAATTAAAAAACAAAGAATCATTACAAATCATGATGCTTTATCTACATAGGTGCATTTTTCCTATTTGTACAGAATGGAAGGGATAGGTTGGTCAAACCTAAAACAGCTGATTCAGATGAATAGTCTGTATCAGATGGCAGATTATTTTCCCACTGGAAATGCTCCACAGCCATATAATTAACAATTCTTAGTTTTAACGCCGCGCAATGTATGTGATTTTTTACGATCTATACATGTGATACGTAGGTATAGTCTAGTCAATGGTGCTTCTTCTTAGGTAATTTTCATACACTTGTAGTGTTGACCTTACACAACTGACTCCATGTGTTGCGTTAGGATTTTAATATGTATATTATATTACTGTTTTTTGGTATTCCATTGTATTTCAATATAAAATATTATTTCTTTATTTTATAATATATCATAGATTACATGATAAAATCATGATTATATCAAATTGAAAAAAGACAGGAATAAATTTAAAATTTCTCATAAATAATTTCCATTAATTTTTTGTTTAGAACAATGGTCAGTATTCACTCTTTCAGTTTTTGCCAACTTGCTCCATACATATTATGTAGAGTTTCCGATGTATACTGTAATGTATGTTTTGACAAAAAAATTTACATATTAATAATTGATACTAACCATCATCACATTTCACATCTTGTTCACTGTTCAAATTAGTCTCTTCTTTCAAATCTGTAATAATACATTATAAATAAAAAAAATGTTATTAAAATATCAATAAGTCTATCTATGTAACGATAACTCTTTTATACCATAACTTATATCTGGTAACACTAGCACACACACAGTGTGTGTAATAAAAAACGAGATCACAAAGGTCCAGTTAAAAGTTTTTATTATACATAGCATTTAATAATAAAATCTAATATTCATTTTAATTTTTTCATTATTTATAATGTGCGATTAAGTGATACTGTTAAAGCATTAACAATTTATAATGAAGCATTATTAATTTTTAAAGAGCCGCTCGTCACGACATCGCAATGCCAATTAAGGTTTTCAAATTGTAATAAACATTAATTAAATTTATATTACATTAAAATTATTTATTTTATTTACCCTTTAAACCGCATGTATTTATTCATCATCATCATTATTCCAATGCAAACGTCATTAACAGATACTATAACTTACTTACCATCACTATATTTTGAATGGTGATCATCTTCATAAGTTGACTCACATTTAACATCTGAAATGAATCATGTGTTACTATAAATATTAATATATTTACTCACTTCATAAAGTGCACTTCATTAAGTATGTACTAAAAATATTATGTTTTTATACACACTTTATATTTTAAAGTTCTGAAATGTAATAATGGTAATATTAGTGAACAATAATTACCATTTACTTCTAATTTAAAAGTGTTCTTCAAAAATTCACCATCTGAAATAAATTCAACATTTATTATATTATTCTTACCTGTAGTGTCATCTAGGAATACTTGAAAGGAAAATGTTTAGGTATATCTTGAAACAACATTCTTAACAAATAAGAATATTATGAAGGTTACTAAAAATAGGGCCAATGGCACATTTACATGTTAAAAATGTTTATAACATGGAAGTTTAACAAAATATGGCAATGTTGGAGTTATCTATTAATTTTATAAAAATAATTTGATGGTTATTCAATATTTTTCATTGATTACAAGTGATCTGATCATATAATAATACTTTTACTTTAATTAATTTGTACATATATAAGGTTGATAATAAAGGAGTTATTTATTGTACTATTATCAACAATTTGTAACCCATCAATTACAAATAAAAGATTAATTTATTACAGTAGCTTGAAGTACTATACAATAATATTGTTAAATATCAATATTAACCTTTGAAATTATGGTTATTGTAATACTGTGAGAACTTCTGTTCGCAGGTAACCACTTGTTGTTTAAACAGTGCAGCATCTCGCAGCCGAGGCTCACATGTATCACAGATACTGTATGAGAAAGCCCCTCTTTCTCCCGGTATTGGAGCTATCTGTGGAGTTAAATAAATTTGAGATGTGTTAAATGTTTATATTAATATTAAGTAATATAGACATGAGAAGTTTTAAAGAATGTGTAGATAAATTATAGATAAGAGAGTATCTGAGGTGTATGTACCTATAGAGTATGATGAAATAAATATAGAATACAAAAATGAAACATTCTGAACAAAGTACATAAAACTGTCTATTTCATTTAGTTTATTCAGTTAAATAAGAAATAAATATATAAGGATAGATGATAATGGTAAACAGTTTTGGTTTTTTTTTATTTTGACAAGATTATGAATGAAAACAATAAATTTTAGAAAGAGAGGTAACTCACGACGGAGATCACACATTAATATTGTGCTTTAAAATAAAATTTAGTATTTATGATATTGATCATTACTAACAATTAAATTGAAAGTGTCCCTAAGCATAACAGAGTATATTTCATCACTTCCACTGCATGTGTATGATACAGCAAGACTCTTGAAATTCCCTTCAGCGTGGCAGCATCGGCACAAACTCATCATATTCCACGTGTCTGACATACTAAATAAGTCTCATTCCTTTATAAATCCACAATTTATTGAACAAAACAAGAAAAAAGTTTTACTTATTAGGTAGGTATAAAAAAATAGGTATAGATTTCTAATGGAAAATGAATGACACTGACATGTTCAATTGACAGTTGATAAAATTTAATATTCTGTAATGTCCAAAAATGTCAAGAATTGGCAATGTAATCGATTCTGAGGCGCCATTTATTAAAACTATCTCTAAAATTAAAATTTTAATTTGATATCACAGCAAAATTTTTATTGTAAGTATCAATATAAATTAATTTTCTAATAGATATAAGTCAAAGTTTTATAATTTTGGTTTATTATAGTCCGTAAAATAGTAATTTCAGGAAATTATCAAATTAAAATATAAAGTTAAGAAAGACATAATCTCTCTAATCTGTGTTTGTGACATCCTATGGTGACATCACAGATTGGAGAGACTTGACATCTCTTTACGACTTTGTACTGAAGTAGTATAATTGTTTTTCGTTTTTACCATTTTATACGTATTATTTGTTTATTGTCTATATTGACAAGATATCAACATTTTAATAAAGTGTAAAGTAATGAGTGAAATATGGAATTTGAGTTCTGTATGTCGTTGTTGCCATTCTGATGGAATATTTAGAAATCTTGATACTCCTTATGTAGTAGAAAATAATGTTGAAATTTATTCGATAATGTTACGCCAAACTTTGGGCATTAACGTAAGTAATACAAGATAATAAATATACTTACTAAGTACAAATAAAAATTTAATTATTTTATTGTGGGTTTGTACTTTTTTTAAATAATCTATGAGAATAGATTTTTTTACTATTTGTCTTGCAATATCTGTATATGTAAATTGTTAAGATCTGCTTTAAAGGTTAATATTGTAAATATGAAAGTGTTGTTGTATTTATTGTAAATATAATTGTTATTTTTTGGTGCTATAATGGCTATCATACATGTATTATTTGCATGGAGAAGTACATAGGCTACTTTTATCCTATTCTATCAATGAATACAGGTTTGGCAAATAAAATAGTGGGTAACATTTATTTTTCTATATAATTTTATTGAGCTTTCAGTAGTAATGTGTAGAATAGTGTTAGCTGAAATAAGGAGAAAGTTCTTCTCTCCCTAAAAACAGAACTTTCTCTTGGTGATAATCCTAAGAAATACTAATTTAATTTTACTTCATCAAATTGTTTGTCATTTCAAGTTACATAAAAAACTTGTATTTATTTAATATTTGTATTTCTTTGATGTCTAAAGGCACAACCTTTCTTTAAAGATTCAAATTTAGTTAATATACTTGATATATGTTTCAGATACAACTATCAAATATATATTTTCTTCATATATATTCACAGATATTCATGCCAGCTATTGAAGTGAGTAAAACTATTTGTGAAGAATGTGTACAGAAACTACAGGATGCATTTTACTTTAAAAACCAAGTAGTAGCATGTGAACAGAAGTTTGAGGAGTACTGCAAAAGTTAGTAATTTTTTTATTGTTAGAGAGGCAATGTAACTGACAATCCATTATTGGGAAGTGGCTTTTATTATGGAGTGAAAACAGAATGGTAATTCTACCTCTTCTATCAGCATAAGCTAGGGGGTACCAGTGAATGATGACAGGTGAAGATGAAGTCAGGTCAGTTGGCCCTTTTTGGAAAGTGGTTGTGATTTTTCCATGAAAATACTTGTTTGTAGTAAGTATATGAACAAAATTGTTTACACAAGATGGATGGATACAGATCAAATGTTTAATAGTTTTTTTTTTTCATATTATGTTAAAAAAATATTGTTGATTGAGATAAGAAATAAACTAAAAGAATAAATCTTTATTGACAGAGGTGATAAATTTTATGTCACTTCTTTCCATATTGCAGAACTAAGAGATTATTTTATGCAATAATGTATGAAGTAATTCAGCGAAAAAAAAAATATAAATAAAATATAAATACTTAAATAAGGAATGTCATTGTTGCAGATGAACAGGCCTTAAATGAAAATGTGGAAACTATCAAAACAGAATTAGACACAGCTGATAATGGTAATTTAATGTTTTGAATTTATATTTTACAGCACTTTGTAAGTGTCCATACTTATATATCATAGGCAGAGTTATACGTAGGAAGGAATAGAACAGGCATTATTGGGAAATCTGGTAAAATTCCATTTAAAAATCCTCTAACTCTTAAATTATACAGACACCTTTTAACATTGTATCATTCACATATGGCAGGAAATTATCCTCACACCATAGAACCAAAATGATGTCTTATAGTATAGTTTCAGAGAAGCATCCTCCTCTGAACACTCAAGTACTGAAATTACTTTCTTGTCGAGGTTATTCCTAAAAACTACAGTGTGGGGTTTTTCAAAAAAGGCATAATATTGTTTCTTATGTTACACTCAAGTTTGAGCATTAATATATTACTTATACTATATAATAATGAATTTTATGTTACAGAATGATGTTAGTGCAAGTCATTTAACAATAAATAGAATTATTACAAATAACAACTTAATTATATGGTTAATTGTAGATCTACAACTCCATCTACTATTTTTTATTTTTATATAATTTATCTTTGAGAATGTTATATTTCCTATTTTTCTCACTACATTTAGATATGCAAGCTGTTAAAATCTGCTTCATAGAATTGTAAATTGAGATTGTTATCTTTGAATATTTTGACAGCTAATCAATGCAAAATTTAGCGTACATTATATATATTATTTAGCACGGGGAAGAACATAAGCTACTTTTTATTCTAATCTATGTAATTATTTATGAAAATATTTAGTAAAATATATATCGAATATATATATATATATATATATATATATATATATATATATATATATATATATATATATATATATATATATATATATATATATATATATATATATAAATATGAAATTTTGACATTGTTTCAGATGAACAGGCCCTAAATGAAAATGTGGGTAGTATCAAAATAGAATTCGACAGATCCAATGATGGTAACTTAATATTTTTTAATTAAATTTTTCAGAACTTTGTCAGTACACTCCTATATTATAGGCGAAACAGACAATAAATATAGGTAAATAAAACAGTAACAATGGTGGGGAAATCCAGTGAGAAATCCCACTTGAAAATTGGGACTTTTGAAATCCAGCTATCTTTTCTCCACTCGCCATTGGCATTCATCGTCATACCTTAGAATCAAAATGGTCACGCATAGTGCAGTTTAAGATGCACATTTTCCCATGAACGCTCAGATTGTGAAATGACCTTCCTGCCGAGGTTTTCCATAGAGACATGGGGTTCTTAAAAAAGGGCGTAATAAAGTTTCAAAAGTTACAAGCGTCCAAAGAAATGGAACCACATGTTTCTTTAATACCCGGGTAGTATAAAAAATAAGAATGGATCAGCATGATATCCAGATTTTTTCATATACATATGATTTGCAGGCGTATACGATAATGGCGAAGATTCGTCTCTCGAGTACAAAGATGATAAAATATATAGTAAGTATTCATGATAATAATTAGTTTTTGAAGTGTCCTTCTCTAAACCTAGAGTACCTAAGTTATGTCTCAGTCAGGATTTTAAAAAAGTAAAGGAGTCCCGTTTCGCGTATAGGTGTAATACTATTATTGTTATATGTATATAAAGGTGTAAATTAAAAGGAAAGAATGCTATTGTAAAATGATGTTTTTAAATTTTCCACACGTCCACGATATCGTTAGGCGATGTATGTATGCATTATCTTTGCGGAAGATTTAAAGTAGTTATGTTTTCTTATAAAATCGATTCATATTTTAATGATAAAAATGTGTCGTATTTTCATATTTTACGACTATTTTTCAAGTCGGGTCTGGCCTGTTAAAAAAGTGCATATGAACTTTTAGATATGTTTAAACTTAACTAAAGTTTTAACTTATAATCGAAAGCTCTGCTTCTGATTCTAATGTGGGCACCAGATCATTCTGAGTTAGGTACGCCTCCATGGGCCCCATGGGCGGGCAAGGACGCCATGTGGTCCCGGCATAGAATGGGTCACCCTTTCCTGTGGGTGTCATAAAAGGCGACTAAAGAAATTGTCAAGTTGGCAGCAGCGTCCTTTAAACATTTAAAAGCCTAACTACGGTTGCCAATCTGCCTGCCAAGCGTGGCAGCTACTGGAAACAATTGTGTGGGCGGTTTATGTTTAGCAGTGGACAGTTAACGGCTGACATGATGATGATGATGGCTATAATAAATTATAAAGTTTGAATAAACAAGTTGTTTTGGTTAGGTGTTTATTTGTTTTATTAGATTTGATCACTCTGGAATTGCATTTACACTAAACTTATGTATTTCTTTGTTTTAATTACAGAAATGGAAATGGAAATTAATGAAATAAAACGTGAAGGTAAGGTCTGTTTACTTTTATTACTTAAGGTTATACTCGTATTTATTGCGCGTATTTAAATAATATGCATTAATGTATGAAAGGTTTATGTCTTTATCATCATTGGATGGGTGTGTGTTTTATATGGGTCTCCCTGTCTATCCTGTTGCCTGGCAAAACGATATATAAATGTGTTAAGTCTACCTTTTTTTTGCAGAAGACAAATTAGCAAATGGGGTGTTAAAAACTGAATCTTTATGTAAACAATCTCAAAAAGAGACTCCTAGAAAAAATATTATTAAAGGTAAGTAAAAACTATATCAAATATGATATAAATTTAAATATATTCACCTTTAATAATCTATTTAATAATGATGTATTAATAATCTATCTAATAATGATGTAGGCATATTTTTTATAAAAAGTTGTCATTGTGCTAAATGTATTTGTATTATAACTGGTTATTATTAATTTAAATTGTCCATCCTTTTTAATTTCAATGGCACTTTAGATTGCTAAATTTGTAAATTTATAAACACACACACACACACATATATATATATATATATATATATATATATATATATATATATATATATATATATATATGATATTTTAAAATATATATATATATATATATATATATATATATATATATATATATATATATATATATATATATATATATATATATACATTATCATATATATATATATATATATATATATATATATATATATATATATATATATATATATATATATATATATAAACATTAATTTTTATATTTCCTAATATAAATAAAATATATACTTTTATATAATACTATCACTTGTTTTAGTATTTTTGTTTAATTATAATCTTACGAATTTTTAGTTAATATATCCAACGCTTTTTAAAACTATGCTATCCCCAAATTAAAATTACACAGTAGATGGGACTTAAAAGTCTTTATCTTTTGATTCAAGAAGTGTAATTTTTGTTTAAGGCGGAAAAGTAAAAAAACCGACGTTAAAATATGAGTCATCGTTAGCGAAATTAAGGCGCGCTCGGAAAAGGAGAAGCGAATATTCATGCCAGCTCTGTCCAGCTACGTACAGCACCAGGGAAGCTCTTAGAGCGCACATAGACCAAATGAAACATGAAATGATTTACAAATGCGAGGTATTCAACTTTTTTTTATTACAAACTAGCGCTGGTTTTTAATGGGTGAAAATGAAATAGTAACCTCGCGTGTTCTATCGTAATACACTGGCGGAGTAGAGGAGAGAGAGGAGTTATAGGTGAGGATGAAGTGGGTCAGTGGGCCTATCGTGATGAATTCAACAACCACGGTTATTTCCAGAGGGAATCACTTGGAGATCGACCTGATAAGAGTATATTGCTAGCAACGGTGTTGTTAGACGTTATTACTAACTCCCTTTTGCCCTTAATAACATTAGTAGTCTATGTCCTTTCCCATTCCAAATAGTATTATTAAAGTGTTATTAAGTAACAAAAACCCAACAAAACAAACTCACTTTCGCATCTATTATAGGCATGTTAATTTGGATGTCTATGAATTTAATAATGGGGACTTAACCACTAATCCTCCTTTTTCACCAATTACCTATAAATAAAATATATTCATTGATTGAATTATTGCCCTGTAACCCCGACATAAAATAAAGCACCCCTTCCTTTCCCGCGGGTGTCGTAAGAGAGTAGGGGAAGGCGAGGGATGGGCAGCAAAGTCCCCTCTTAAAACATCTCTAAAACTGCGCGAGCCAATCCGCCTGCGAAGCGTGTCAGTTACTGGCGAAACCCTCAAATGAGAAGGATTATGTTCAGCAGTGGACAGTTAAAGGACTGATATGATGATATGATGCCACTATCAAGATCGTCTATTAGTTTTAACTAATTTCTTTTCTTATGGAACAATCTTATGAAAAAATAGGAATGGTTTTATTATTTTTTCCAGGTCTGCAGCCAAAAGTTTACGTCTAAATCTCAACACAACAGACACTTAGCATCGGTACACAGTGACATCAAACCATTCAAATGCAAACATTGCCCGAGAACCTTTCGACTAGAAACCTCGCTTCCAGAACATGAGAATCTTCATACCAAACAAAATCTTTATCAATGCGATATCTGCAACAAGATGTTGAAGCACAAGCAGACACTGAAGAAACATATCCAGTGGCATTTAGGACTGCAGAGGAAGTTAATATGTGAATTGTGTGGTGGAACATTTAATGACCAGTGCAATCTACGGAAACACGTGCAAACTGTTCATCAGAAGTTGAAGCTTTACAAATGTCAGCTATGCCCAAAGGAGTTCGCTGCAAATAAAGGCCTGAAAGTCCATATGCGACAACACACCGGCGAAAGACCGTTCTCGTGCGATATCTGTGGTAAGAGCTTCACGTCGTATTCCACCTGTAAATCCCATATATTCACACACGATCCCAAATTCAGATACAAATGCAAAGTTTGTACAGAAACATTCGAAAAGCGAGGGGCATTCGCGAAACATACTAAAATGCACGTGGGCATGAAGCCACTAGTCTGTCATATTTGTGGACAAGACTTCACGTGCAAATATTCTTTGAAGAGGCATATCTTTGAACATACCGGGGTGAAGCCATTCGTATGTGACAAGTGCGATTGTAGATTCTCTCAAAAATGTGGGTTAATTAGGCACAACAAAAGGTTCCATAGCGGCACTGTCCGTTCACCAGCCGATAGGAAACAATGTGGTTTATGTAAACGACTTGTTTACAATATTGAGAAGCATTTACAAACTCATAATAATAGGCCACACGTGTGTGAATATTGCAATAAGACATATGCGGCTAGGAATATATTGAATCGTCACGTTTTGAGCGTACATTTAGGACTAAAGTCGTTTAATTGTCAGTTTTGTGATAAGAAATACAAACAGAGGAATGCATTAAAGCACCATTATCTGAAAGCCCACAAGATGCCGTTGAAAACGGAATTAGAAGAAAATATGGATAGTGTGGTCACTAAATATACAATTGCCAATAAATATAGGAAAAAGAAAATTTGTGTTAATAATTTAACTGTGGATATGCCATTGATAGAAGAGTCTGATAAAAAGTAATTGTTTTCCTTTGCTTCATGAAAAATATTGAATCTTGGGAAATCAAATGACAAAACTATAATATTAATTTTTCTTACGTGCAATAAAAAACAAGTTGATAACTCAGCTATTGAAACTATATACAGGAGGAATTTTTGGTACAGAGCATATACCATCACCATCCTTTATTTCTGCATAATAAAATTTTTTATTCAGAAAATTCGGCAAAAATGTGCGATTTACACTTTTTCTTTGATGGGGACACAAACTAGAAAATCAAACCTTAAGTTATTAGACAAAAATTATTTTTTTTAAATTGGCTTTCCTTAGAAAAACTTAGATCTTCGTCTAAGCAATGTCCATTACCACTGCGCCATGCTCGCTTATAGTATGTATATAGGGAGACCCTACTGAACCTATTTATGTATATTTTATTTATTTTTATTAATAAAATTCTTGTTGAATCCTGTATTTTTATTTTTAGTTACAATTTATACATTATATACATAAATAACAGTTGTAAAGTAAGCTGTAACATAATTATCATTATTTTTGTCTAATGCCTGAGATCAAACAATTTTTTATAAGGTAAATGATTAACGTCGTCCAAAAGTGCAATATTATTATATTATAACAAATTATAACAATTCTTAAGTAACTTATTAAAATTTATTAAGTATTTTTTTTTTTAGTTGTAAATAGTATCAAACAAAATACCTAACCTGTTCTATATCTACTCCCTTATTCATAAAAACTAAAACTTACAAACCTAATTTAGCTATTGAAGTGTTTTGTCACTTTCTTTCAAATTAAGAATTTAGTTCAAAAGTAAGAGACAAAACAATAGTTAAAAATGGTTTATGGTTTGATGTTTTTATGAATAATATAATTTTCTGTTTAATGCGACAAAAACAATTTTTTTTACAGATATTTGACTCTTTTTGATTGATGAATGTTTAAATTTCTGCTATCTCTGCTTCTGTTCCATAGTGTCACAGAGCTCTTCATGTAAGTATACTACTCTTATCAATTTTCTATTTTATGGCCGCCATGTTTTTATTTGACACCATGTATCTATATGAAGGTATTCATATAACTATGTCGTAAGTATATTGTCTAAGGAAGAAACAAATTAAGAGTTTCTGGAATCAGCGAACTTGTATGAGAAACAGCTGAAAGTAAACTAATTCATTTATATAAGCCTTAAACACTAATAAACAATAAACAAGCTAGGTCAAGATTAGCTTTTTTCAAGATTGCAATATTTTTTAACAAAGAATATTGGAATGAAGTAAATCATGCTGTATATATGAGGGTGGTCGCGCGGAAACTACTTTGTACCAATAGCACTCGTGTAAATAATTGTTATGGTAAGCGTACGGCTGATTATTTAGTTCCTTGATTTATTAACGAACTACCCACTGCTGTACGCGATTATATTAACTAATATATAAATAAGAAAAAAATACTTGCATGATGTTAATACAAGCTAAAATAGTCTCAATGTATTTAGCATTAATAGAAACTTACATGGTTTCCGAATACTAATAGAACGTGTATTGTTACAAAAATTCAGTATTACAGAAAACATAATAATAATTAAAAAAGTCGGAGCAGCCAGTAAAGAGGTTTTCCAATAACTGACAGCGCCTAACATAAAATCATGTGGCAATGAAAGTAACAATTGCTTTGATTTGTAAATCAGTTTTGTTAATTATTATATAGATATTAGCTAACGCAGCAAACGTTGTTTTGCCTTTTACTGGTAGCTACAGGGTCCATGTTTTCTTATCGGAATAAAAAATTATTCAATTTAAAGTAAATAATACACATGCATAATTTTCATTACTGTCGGTTGAGCAATGTCGAAGATTAGCATGAACTTACATTGCGATATAAGACTTTATACATAAAAGGATAGCAATTCGATTAGACGACGGATAGAAAGATAAATTAGTATTCTAGATTAGCTTTAATAGACAAATATTTGATATCTTGAGCACAGATACTAGCTAGCCTTAGGTTACATTATTGTAAATTTTAAAATTATATCTAATTTTTTTAAATTAAGAATGAAGAACCCCGACAACAAACCTAAAGGACAACCTGATAGAGTACATTGCTACTTTTGCTAGCGGTTTTTTTCTTTAGAAACTTCATATTTTAAATGATATTGCGCCATATGCACGACACTGTTACATATATCGTGCCTTGATGTACCTACCTATATGCGTTTAGTTTGTTTGTTGCTTATCTTTATTTTTTACTTTTATTTTATATTCTTTGAAAATGAGTTATAGTATGATTATTTTATTTGTAGGTAATTGGCGGTATTATGATTGTGTCTTGGTGAACAATGGGGCTATTAGACAAACAACTCGTTTACAAACAATTCATTTCCCCCAGAAATATAGGTTGTATGGGATTATGGGATAAATAACAAAAAAAAATTACTTTTTATATTACTTAACACGGTATGTCCAGCTGTCAGTATTTACATTATTATATATTTACAATGTAGTAAGTGTGGGTTGATGGTAAATAATATTTTTCATTGCCCATTTTACTCAATTCGTTTCTATTTAGTTTGCAATGCGTTTAATAGTTCTTACGTATGCACGCATACATTATTTCAACAAAGCCTACCTCTACCTATTTAAAGAATCTTGCAAATATGATCTTTACTGCACATCGATAAGTTTGATTTTGAAGGGACACATTCGCTATTATTTGTACAAAGTTACCTTTTATTTGCTGTTATTAAAATCTATATTTATTGGAATATGAACTTAGGGGCTGTGATATTAAGGCGTTAGGTTTTATTCCTATTTGAAAATATGTTATTCACCGTGGATGCGGCGCAAGATTGGAAAGTGGTCAAAGCAGTCTCGTAAGCGGTGCAGACCGCAGCGCCCGTGCCGGTAAAAGGGGACTCAAAAAGTCAATGAACAGGTCGAAAATATAAATCCGAAAAAAGTTTGTGCGACGAGCTGTGACGTTGATGTCTGAAAAACTGTCATAATCTCGAAAAAGCAAATAGTAATCTGTGGCAAATAATAATTAAATAATAAATCGTGCAGTGTTTGTGTTTTGTGATAAACCCACTTTATACATAAAAATTATACTGCAGCCGTATTCATCTACCGCAAGGTAAGTGATATGTTTGAGACCTCCTCGTCATACAGAGATGTTAATTTCTTTTTAATTTCATTTCTACAACACGAGAACATACGCGTATACAAGTTGTCCAAGATTGCGTTTTTTTACTTGTTTAGGATCATAGCGGTTTAATTTCAATACAAATAACAAACAGGTTTGAATAAAGGTAGATATTTAGCTTGATTAAATCTTAGTAGGACATTCTAAACATGTATGAGACAATGAGGTTGATTGATAATTACTAAACTATGCAAAGTATACCATTATCTCGACTTCTATAGATTTAATGGGGTAGTCTGAAAAATTACCACTCAATCTGCCCACAATTTATCGAGCATATTGAAATCAACGTGGCAGGAGGTAAGCCAATCGTCGTTTTTCTGATTAATTTGTTAACGGTTTTTTCTATTGATAATTAAATTACAATAAAATTTCAAAATCGGTCAGATTAGAACTATGGACCAATAAATACCAAGTCGGGGTTTTAATTATGAACAATTTGGAATGGCAAACAGTCTGATAGTTCATCTGTGTAACCAGATGGAAAGAGTTATACGTCGTCTACAAAAATGAACATCACAGAATGCACTAATCCCAAGGTACCTCTCATGTATTGCACCCGCCATCATCTGCTAGTGTGGAAATGCTGTTCGTAATTGTGTGTATATCCTACTGGTCTATACCTAATGCTTGCTTTTTTATTTAAATTTTGGTAAAATGTTGATTTTTTAGTGCACTACGTATTGCTTATTCATCATGTCGATTTTAACTGTAAATATTGTTATACTCAATATCTATTATATCACGTAGACAAACATTTATCTGTCTATCGTCTTTTCCCTTGTATAAATATAACGTGATTTGACTCAATAATCAACATATGTATTGCAACAACTACTCCGTCTTGAATATTCGAATGAAAAAATTTTTTAGTAAGCATCCTGTCTTATAATAGACAGTTAGACCATAGACTGTGTACGCTTACAAATAAATTCCTACCGTATAATCTATTGAACAATTAGCAATGATTTAACGCCATAGTTACGGTCCTTGCAGATCTTGCGCTTTCTCCTTCGCATACGTTCGCTAACAAAGCCTTCAGAGAGTAGAATTTTTATTTAAGTATTAGAAATTGTAAGCTGACCGCTTACTGATGGAGTGTAGTCACCGTCACCTATAAACATCCTGAGTAACAGATTATATACTTGACTACTATAGCATTATCTATTTTGTGTTAAGGATTGTACTGGCTTTTTTATCCTTTGAACCGAAACAATGCACATGTAGGTAGAACTAAGTTTCATTTATTAACCCATTCCAAAATAAGGAAGTTCTAAGTTCGATAATACAACTTTTTAATTTTTTTGTGCATATAGGGCTATTATAAATCTAGGTTTCCTTGGATTTCAAGGAGGTTATTATTATTTTCCTTATATGATTTTTACTAATTAGATCGAAATAGTTCCCTTGTTAATTGTTCTTTTCCACCCAGAAAAAAGCAGTGTTGCCATTCCTGAGTACATGTTAAATATACTGATAAAATTAATTTGAACTAAAACCTATCAGGAATGAATGAATGAAAACTATTGTTCCCTTCAAAGATTTTTTTTATTTAAGACGTCTTTTTGCCGATGAAGCTCTGGCCACTCACTACGATTTTCAGCGAGTCTCTTCACCTTTTGATACGACATGACACCAACTTTTTCCTTGATCTGCCTGATGTAACTATGCCTTGGTCTTCCCCTCCCCCTCCTTCCTTCTATCTTACCTTCTATTATAATGTTCGTATCGTATCAAATGTCCTAACATTTTTCTCCTTCTTACCTCCTCCTTACCTTTTGACCTCCTCATTACTAATTCGGTTTTACAGCAAACCTTAAAAGAATGCTATATGAATACACAAACAAAATGAGTACTTAATTACGTAAAAGCAAAATAAAGAGACTAAGACTTTTTAATGAGTGATAATGGAATAGTAACTCCGCCTGCGTTACGGTATATACTGGCCGTCACCACTGAGAGATAACAGACGAGGATAAAAGCACTTCAATTGACCAATCGTGACGTATCAATACAATACAAGAATTAATCACAATGGTTTTTATGGGACCGTGTGGAGGTCGACCTGATTAAGGTTTAATGCTGGTAACGGGTCCCTAATCCTCGTTAGTAACAATCTTTTTCCTTCCTAAATCTTATCAAGACTGTGATTATGTTAATGTTATTGGAACGCTGTCTTGTAGTCTTGGCGATGGCACCTTTTTTTGTAGTGGGTGAAAGTGTAATAGAGATTATGCCTACGCTTATACTAGGTATACGCTGACGTAGCCTCAGTTAGGAATGATGGGTGAAGATGAGCTCGCATAATGCCAAATTTATCAGAAACTAATCACGATTGTGGTCACGGGAGATTACGTGGAGACCGAGCTTAAATAGGGTCGTTGATCTTCCTTACCTACAATTCTATTTCCCTCTCTTGCTATGTCTCTACATGTAGTAACTTTTTAGATCGTCTGAAAGATATGATTATTCGTATATCAAAATGATGACACAGTATATTTTGGGATGCCGATGGTGCTTTTTATCTTTATAGGCGATGATTTCCATTTTCTATCAGAAGTGACCTTAATTTGTTTGCCATTCCAAGTTTCTTAAAAAAGTCTGAAGTTATATAATACAATAATAATAATAATAATAATAAACGAGGGTTTGCATAGAGAGGTCATAGAATTTCCCTCTCTTGCTGGCTAAAGAGGACTGGCGAAAACCCGAAGTTTTGGGTACCTCTCAGCGGGAGGCCGTATGGAAAGAGAAGGAGTTGCATTCTTCTTCACGGGCCGTACGTAAGACCTAACAGTTCGGTGATCTCTTCGGAGAGACCGAGGGTTTTGTCTGAAAGATCATGATTAAGACGAACAATTACCGAAAGCACATTCTGAAGGATATCAAAATCCCGGAGAGTCACTCAGACATGTGCTGACACCAACACTACACAACCAGGTAGCCAAAATACTCCATCAAGAGCTAGCTCTGAAGTACGGCCTCGATGAGAGGTTGCCGTACTTAAGTATGATCTTCGAAAGCGACAGCGTATAGGCCGATCCATCATCACGGACAGGACCGTTCTTGCGAACAAACCTGATATCGTGGTGATGGATCTACCATACCGCATGACGAGAACCTCGTGAAAGCCGAAACCGAGAAGAAGAGAAAATATCTCGACCTGGCTCACGAGGTTGTGGGGGGTGACATCTACCAATTTATGTCGGTGAACGGTCTTATCCCAACCAGTCTCGAACAACATCTCAGACGGTTGGGATTCAGAGGCGGTTCACTTCCGGGAAAGATGCAGAAAGTTATATAAACCCCGGCCGACTACCAATAAGATAATAAAAAATAATAATAAATAATATTTTTTTTTATTCCTTTATATAATACAAGTGCTTCGTGTTGTCTTGCTAGTAAATCGAGCACTTCAAAGTGTTCACAACTACCTAATATACTACTACCTAATATAATACCTTGCGCTTGTACTTACCACAAGTATGTAATTCATGGCATACGAGTACACTCAGATTGGAACTTGTGACCTTGCGGTTATAAGCTTGCAAAACCAGATAATGCCCCATTTTATTAGGTTATTGTACACACTTTATCATAATAAACCACAGATATTCTCAAAAAATCATTAGTATTACAATTACTAACAACCGATTAGTTTATGGCATTTTTTATTCATTATTCAAAATACAAAAAGTTATTTAAATGTCTTAGGATTTATTTATTACGAAATTAGAATTATGGAATGGTAAACAAGCTGATGATACCAAGTGTTGGAGGTGTTTAGCGGATCCCTTAACTGATAACCTAGAGCGACTGGGGGGTGGGGGATTTTTAATAATGCAGACCACCAGTCCCCTTGCTAGCAATATACCTTATCAGGTCGACCTCCACGTGTCCTCCTCTGAAAACTATCGTGCAGGTGTATTCATCACGATGGGCTAACTGACCTGCCTTTCCATTCTCACTTATCATCCCTCACTGGTGCACCGCCCGTATATACCGTTGGCGCAGGCGGGACTACCATTCCATTATCATCCATTAAAAAAAAACCTAGAGCGACTCTCTTGCATCCGGGCAAATCTTTTGGACGTAGGCGACCCTTTCGATCTTGGTTCCTTTGGTCGACCATCTCTCCTTCCTCTCTGAGAGCAATACTGCATAATCAGGAAAAGTTCAAGTTCTTATCTCATTTTAAAGTTAAGCAAAACAGGTAAACGTCGTTGTCACCTCAATATGATTCTACATAGATCATTCTGGTATAAGATTAGTCATACATTCGCCTTCACCTCTTTCATCTCATTCATACCGAACCAATAAGTATACGCTAGATATGACGCAAACTCCAATTAAATCCAGTTATATATTACGACACGGAGCCGCGCCGGGTGCGATGTAACCCGACGTAATCGTCACGTAATGATACATTTATCGTGTTTTTTTACATACATACCTACATTGCTCCAATTATGTGTAATGACATTTAAATGACGTAGGAAGTAAAGTTTTGAATGTTGAGTATGTAGTGACCACAAAAAGAAATCCACGATTTCAATAGAATTTAGCGACCTTTATGGCGTTCAATCCTCGATTAAAACTTTTTTATATTAGTCTAGATCTTGTTATTTTAAGTTCTGCTCGTTGATACCTTGTTACCCGGTTAGATAGGCACTTGTTTATATCTGCATTTCAATAGCTTTCGAATATGTAACATACGAATTATTATTTTATGGCAGAAATACTACAAGATCCCCTTCTCTTTTGTTTTTTATGCATATTACATTATATTACATTAGCCATATGATGAAGTCTTGCACGATGCCGAACTTGATTGTTGCAGCATCATATACCTCATTAATATAGCACCTGTGCAATCCTGAATGTCAAACACGAATAAAAATCTCTACTGTCTACTTTCGAAATGCATTTAC